ACAACAAAAGGTTAATAAGGTTGAGGTAGATGAAGCGTTACGGTTGCAGAGGCGAACAAGGTATTTGCTTATTAAGATGAAGATGCAGCAGAATCTTATCGATGCATACGCAACTGAAGGTTGGAAAGGTCAGAGGTACAAAATTTGAATTTCCCTCTCTTTAAAGCTCAATATTTTTTGTATGGAAAAGGTTTAGGATTTTACGATTTGGTAGGATATATTACCAAAGGAATGGTTAACTTTGCGTTACGAATGATTTTTATTTAGTTGTCTTGCTGTCAAATATTTCTGTCTATAAGTGTGTTACGCGTATTCAACCTTTTTTGCTGTTTCCAAACCAAACGTTTATTCCTATGTTCTCCTTAGGCCACATTTGGTTTAGACGTAAAAACAAACTTTGCATTTGCGTTTGCGTTTACATGCTTAAAATATTTTGATCATCATTTGTAAATGGAAAAATGAAAACGCAAAGAAACAATCATGGCCTTATATAGTTGCAAACAATTAATGTGGTTTGACTCTTAATATTTCCGTGTTTTCTTCAGCCGGGAAAAGATAAGACCAGACAAGGAGCTTGAGAGAGCACGAAAAGAGATCTTAACCTGCAAGCTTGGACTACGAGACGCCATTCGCCAGCTGGATTTGCTTAGTTCGGTGGGAAGAATCGAAGAGCAAGTGATGGCTCCAGATGGATCTATTCATCATGACCATGTAAGCAAATCTCTGGATATTTGCTTTTAATTATTATCATTCGCTAGACCCCAAAACATTCATATAGGGAACTCAATGTTAATCGCACGCCTTATCGACATGTTAACACTATATATGCATATGTTCTAATTCGTATCTTTTTGGTCCATAATGGAGTATTTACTGATGGAGGTGTTTATCTTTTGCAGATATTTTGTGCAAAATGCAATTCTCGAGAAGCTTTTCCGGACAATGATATAATACTTTGTGATGGAACGTGTAATCGCGCCTTTCACCAGAAGTGCCTTGACCCTCCTTTGGAAACAGAAAACAGTATGCTTTTCCTTTTAATTACAAATACATATATTGTGTCTTAGAGAGTTTATACACTGCGGTTTCTCCATCTGATTATTTTGTTGTTTCATAAATCATACTGTTTTCAATAATCTCAACAGTACCTCCTGGAGATCAGGGCTGGTTTTGCAAATTTTGTGATTGCAAAATGGAAATCATCGACACAATGAATGCACAAATAGGATCTCATTTCCCTGCGGACAGCAACTGGCAGGTAAACCTTTGGCAAGTGCCAGATTGTTTAATTTTTGTTTGAACGGGAGATAGAGACACTTCACTATCAGAGCTCTGCTTTACTCTCTTTTTTTTTTAATGGATTAAGGATATCTTCAATGAAGAAGCTAGTCTTCCTATTGGATCTGAAGCCACACTTAACAACGAAGCGGATTGGCCTTCTGATGACTCTAAGGATGATGATTATGACCCTGAAATGAGGGAAATCGCTGGAGGAAGCAGCAGCAACGTTAATGGTGTTGATGATGGTGATATTGATGGAGAAAGTGATTCAACTAGCTTGAGCTTAGCTTCTGATGGTGTAGCCCTTTCAACAGGATCATGGGAAGGTGATAGATTTAACAATATGGTGGAATTATGCGAAACAAGTACTGAAGAAGCTGTAAGTGGGCCAAGACAGCGGAGGACTGTTGACTATACAAAATTATACTATGTGAGTACCACATCCATGGATCTGCTTATATTTGTTATTGATGGTTGTTCTGGTGGTGAATTTCGGTTTTCTTCTTCTGTTGTATCAGGAAATGTTTGGAAAGGATGCTGGTTTGCAAGAGCAAGGTAGTGAAGACGAAGACTGGGGTCCGAATGACAGAAGGAAGAGAAAAAAAGTGTCAGATGCAGCAAGCACACTTGTAACTATGTGTGAAAATAGTAAAAAAGATGATATTGTAGAAACACGGAAGCAGAGTGAGAGAGATTCTGTTTCCGTGGAAGATAAAGGAGGCCGAAGGCCGATGTTCAGACTACCAAGAGCTGCAGTTGAGGTCTGCAATTGCTTCTTCCCGGTTTGATTATCTTACATATTAGTTACCGTAAGATAAATTTGAAAAATCCCATTTTCTAAGTTTAAAATTGTCATAAATGTACCAGAGGCTACGTCAAGTGTTTGCAGAGAATGAGCTTCCTTCAAAAGCTGTGAGGGACAGTCTTTCAAACGAGCTGAGTCTTGAACCAGAGAAGGTAATAGTGAGACCAGAAAAATGTAACCTTGAGAATGTTTCTTAGAACTTTGGAAGCCTACAAGGTTCGTTCATATGTTTTCTTAGTTTGTTTGGTTCTATGCATGCTCAATTTTCATTGTTTTTCAGGTCAGCAAATGGTTCAAAAATACACGGTACATGGCATTGAGGAATAGGAAGGTAAATAACTTGTTTTTAAATTGTCGCTATTACTTGCTTCATTGTCTGGATTCCTTAAGAAACTAGACCTCTTATGATAAGATCGATCATTTGGCCATTATTTTTCTGTGATAGACGGAGAGTGTGAAACAACCTGGGGATTCTAAGGCAGTCTCTGGAGATTCTGGACCAGAACCAGTCATGGAGAACAACAATGAAGAAACTAATGAAATTCAAGATACCTTGGATGAGAACAATCAAGAAACGAATGAAATTCAAGATACCATGGATGAGACTGTTTCGCTCGGACTGAATGATTCTGCTACGAATCAGAGAACAATATCTCCCTGTAATAATAACCAGGAGGAAATTGAACAGGCCACTGTCTCTTTTCCTACACCCACAGATGAAAGTCAACAGTATCTGGAGCAGAAAGACACTTCTTTCACTCAAGTGGTATGATATAAATTTAAGCACTAATAATTGATTCAGTACTTACTCATATGAACTTGCCTTGACCAGTGGTATTCGGTTTTTTGTTTTGTGTTCAGCCACATGAAGAGCTAAGCAGCGAAATAAGCCTGAAGACGACGGCTCTAGAGGAGCAGGAGACGGAGAACAAAATGACGGAAGAGGAAGAATTCGAAGCAATGATGGAGATGATTTGTAGAGCAGAAAACAAGTTAATGGACGTGACGCAGAGGGTTGAGAGATTTAGAACACCGAAAGGCCGGAAAAAGTCAGGCAAGTCTTCTTCATATGTAGTTGAACAAGACTCAGTAGTGTATGTTCCAACAGCAGAGATCAAGGAGAAGAAGTTGTAGAAGTTTTGGTATTGTTAGATTCTTTGGGAACTAAACTTAGTCTGAGAAACCTCATGTAG